CAAATAAGCTGGCACATTTCAGAGCGTTTATGCGCAACTCCTTGTACGTATTTTTATCACCGCAGCGGTAAAAGCTCAGCAAGTCTACTTCGTTGAATTTGTTGCGTAAATCTTGGTCGTTTTGAATGTCGATAATTTCTAACTGCATTGACTCTGGCGCATTTTCAACTAAAATCGTGAAAGGATTGCTGAATATGACCAACAGGGGTTTCACTTTTTAAACTCCGAAAATCTGTCTTGAAAAGATTGAATCAAAATATCTAGCTTTTCTACATAACTGAAATTAATCACAGTTTTGTTGAATTTTTCATCCATTTTCTTATAATTCGGAAAATGATTGCAATTTCCAGAATTGATTTGCAATCTGAAAAATGTCAGCTTGCATTGAAAGGATGATACATGAGCCTAGAGCTGGGATATCAGTTGATTTTTGCCTTGAAGCCGTGTGTTCAAGACATTCAAATGATTTGTAATATCAACTAAAAAAGCCAAATCATACAAGCAATCAGGATTTTTAAGTTCCTTGACATCCCTTTGCTTTTCCGCCAGAAATATTCCAATTTCTTCTATTGAATTTAGAAATCGTTCCAGTGTCAATCCACGACTTAGCCACCTTATTTCTGTATAATACAGTAAATCTTCCATATTCGCTTTCGATGTCATCAAGGAATTGTTTGAATTGCCTGCTATTGAGTCCTCGTGATTTTATGTAATTTACAGTCGAAAATACCACTTTCATGACATTTTGAAATTTAAGTTTTTTAGAACAGAGGGTTTCTTGGTGTATAATGCAGTGAAACTGTATGAGATCTTCAGCGTTTATGTTTTTTTCTTGCAGATGCTTTTTCAGCAAAGCCCAGAATTGACACCAATCATCGAAGGAGCACCGTCAGTCGCAACTCCCAATAATTTTGATAAGTCCAAATCAGTTTTTGAACACTCATCCAAAAGTACATTGAGTATATCAACTCCTCTGGTTTGACCTTTCAATGAACACATTCCTAATAACTCTTCTAAGACTTCAAAATATTGAGTAACACCTCTATGAATATCAGAAGTTGAGCTGTGGAACTAATATCAGTAGATTCGTCGAGTTCTAACGAAAAAAATTCAATGATCTTAGTTTTTTCATTTAATTGTTCCGCAATGTTACCTGACAAAGACATAATTCGTCTTTGGATAGTCATACGATTCAGTTGAATTTTCTCAAACTTTTTTGCTGCTTCCGGACACATTTTCTTAGCGGCAATTTCTATGCATTCTTTTACAAAATCCCCATCATTGAAGGGGCGACTTCGCTTTGCTATCATTCGAGAAATTTCATAACTAACTTCTGTAGCTGTTTCTGAATCTTGAATGGGTTTTGTAAACATAGCTTGCTGACCAATAAGCTCCCGTTTTAAAGACAAAATTTTTTGCTTTCTTAATTCGCCTGTAAACTTGGTAAAAGTAGGATGCTGCGTTTCATAGTGCCTTTTTACATTATATTCCTTTGCAATCGCAACAGAATTCTTGCAAATTAAACAAACGATTTGTTTTTGTTTTGCGACCATATAAAAAGTATTTCTCAGTCCAAATTTCTTGAAACTGCCGATTTTCATCTTTAACCTTACGTTTTTTACTAGGTCCTGGCTTTTCCATGTTGCATTCTAATCCTGGCTAGGATTAACACAGCACCTAAAAAAATTACAGTACCTACTTAAATTACCCATCCTTTTTTAAATTACCAAAATTAATTGATTAAATAGGTAGGGAAACACTTATTAATAACAGAGTTTTACTTACGATTTCACAACACAATTATACACGGCACTTGACGGGAAATCTACATTGAATGTGGATCAAAATATATGACACCTGCTAGTCGAGTTAAAATCTACACTAGAGCTATTGACACTTCACTCAAATTAAAACCGAACTGTCGGTCGCTGCAGTTAGCGTGGCTTTTATACCGCGCGTATAGAGTCGAAAACTGTCTGGAGAAATCACGAAACCGACTCTGGAAGCTTCGTGTATCTACCTACGCGAGCACTTAAAAAACAAAAAATACGAGAGCAAAAATTAAAGAGCAAAAAACATTCGGGACTATTGCTATCTCGCTTGCTCTAACAATAGAACCCGTGGATAAGCCACCACCGTGCTGCCGTCGTCACCGCGCCGCCGGCCGCGACGGTTACTCAAGAAAACGAATTTAACCGAGATCAGCACGAATATTACCGACCGCTGTTACCGACGCATGCACGGCGCACCGATAAGCGCACTTAAGAGCGCACGCGCGAGATTCAAATTACTTTTGGAACATATTTTTTTTTTTGGTTTTTTCTGGAATATATGTAATTCAATATTTTTCGAACGTACGAGAGTATTATTTTTGCTGTCGGCGAGCCACCAGTATTCGACCGGCAGACCGCATGCGGCCCGTGGGCCGTTGTCTGTGCATCTATGATTTAGAGCTTGATAGAGACGTTGACTTCTTTAGAGGTGACCTCTCCAACTAATCGTTTAGGTTTAGTGTGCCTAATCACCATTCGGTGATTGCTGCCAATTTTCACCCTCGCGATCACTGAGACATCACTGAACAGTTGCCGTCTAATCATCATAATGAAGTCAATCTCATTTTTGTCGAATCGTCGGGGCACGACCAAATCCACTTACCATAGGGCCGCTTCTGGAAGAAAGAGTTCTCCTTTTTCCTAAAGTCAGCCAGCTACTAGCCTCTTGGGTTCCGTTGCCCTATACCGAATTTACCTACCTTCAGTTCATCGTTCTCTTTTGTGCCTAGTTTTGCGTTGAATTCTTTCATTATCACCGTATAGTGGGTTTTAGAGAAATGAATGGCTTTACATATATCCCCATATATTTCCTCCATCTCCTCATTGGGATGTGCCGAGGTTGATGCGTATACCTGTATGATCTTCAGAGAATACCGTTCAGTTATTTTGAGTATAATGTACGCAATTCTCGTTTACACAATCCTATTCTTTACTACGTTGTTAATGAGAGACTTTTGGACGATAAATCCAACACCTCCTTCGGATAGACGGTCGCCTACCTGGTGATAGAACAAGTTACCGAATTTGGGGATTACCGTGTCCTCCCCCTCTTTTTGGACCTCAAATAACCCAATAATATTCCAACGCAACTTGTTTATCTCTTCTTCTAGCTCCGGGATCCTCTCGTTAGTCCTCAGGATGCGTGCGTTATATGTTTCTAATTTGAGTCATCTGAGGTGGCTACTGAACTTCCATCGGAGATTCTTTATTTCTCATCATTCATCATCATTATAACAGCCCTTCATAAGTTCACTGCTGAACATAGGCCTCCCACAAGGTATGCCACAAAGCACGGTCCTGAGCCACCTGCATCCATCGACTTCCTGCATGTCTTACCAGATCGTCACTTTATCTAGTGGGTGGTCACCCCACACTACGCCTACCAGTATGAGGCTGCCACTCGATAACCTTTTTTCCCCGTCGGTTGTCGGTTCTTTGAGCTATATGGCCGGCCCATTGAAACTTCAACTTACTAAACCGTTGGGCTATGTCGGTCATTCTGGTTCTACTGCGAATATCCTCATTTATAAGTTTATCGTGCAGAGAAATCTCGAGCATAGTCCTCTCCATAGCTCGCTGAGCGATTTTGAGCATCCTCATACGGCCAGCAGTGAAGGACCACGTCTCGGTTCCATTAGTCATCACTGGCAACACGCACTTGTTGTACAATTTAGTTTTCAGGTTTTGAGGTATACCTGACGAGAAGATGTGTCGTAATTTTCCGAACGCTGCCCAGCCGAGTTGAATCCGTCGATTGACCTCTCGGTCGAAGTTGGACTTACCTAGTCGGACTATTTGTCCCAGGTAAGCGTACTCGTCAACAACTTCGAGCTTAGTGCTCCCAACCACTAAGGGTATAGGTGTGACATGGAAATTAAACATGATTTTTTTGTCCATGTTCATCTTAATAATTATCCGTTGGGAGGCACTATTCAGGTCATTGAGCAAAGTGCTTAAGTCCTCCAGCGATTCTGCCATAAAAACTATATCGTCGGCAAATTGAAGGTGTGTGATGTACTCGCCATTGATATTAATACCGTATCCTTTCCAGTCCAGTAGTTTGAAAACAGTGTCGAAGCCTCCATAGAAGCCGAAAAGCCGAGTTTGCCTTATCAAACTGAATCAATCAATAATATCAACTAATAAAATAACTCGTAAACTGTTTCAAACTATTTAGTAGTATTGTATGTAAGTATTATATGTAAATATCTTCTTCTTTCGCTCAAACAAACCCAAACGGCTTTCTTCAAAGCCACCAAAGCTATACAATAGTTGATATGTAATACAATCTATCTAGCAGTAGTATGCCTTCTGTGTGCTTTGTTAAACACTTCCTTGACAGCACTGAATATGAAACTGAAGAGTGGAGACAGATCAAGATTGGTGTATTTTTATAAAACTGATAAAAACAACAATCTATATTTTTATCAATTTACATCTTGGGCTTGACCTAGTTTGGAGCTCTAGCTTCGCCACTGCTTGAAAACGTCTTCCAATGCAGCGGTGAAGAGTTTTGGGATATAACGTCACCCTGTCTTACACCTCTCATCATCTCACCTCTTTGTTTCTACCCCGTCGTTATTATGGTCGAGGTATTGAGGTTACCATGGTTCCAGTGTAAAGGTGTGCAAAAGTACCCACTTTCCCATATCTTCCCGTGGGTGTCGTAAGAAGCGGCAGAGGAAAACTGAGGCAGAAGATGGGCAAACAGAATCTTTCTGATAAGAGAAATATAACAATAAAAAACTGCGGTTGCCAACACTTTAGCCGAGCGTGACCTCATGTATACCTCCGTGATGAGAGTTACGAAGAGACGGCTCCCATTCCCCGGGAAATATCCCCGCTATTAATAGGTGTTGTTTAACACATAACAAATGTGTTTCTGATAGCTAATAATTGACTTTATCGTCATATTAAAATTGACTGTTGTGGGCATTTATATTTCAGCACCAGCAAGTATCGTACCGCCTATTCAAAGTAGTTTGGAATCGATAGTTGGAAATTCCTTAACACTACCATGTCAGGCAAGTGGATATCCGAAACCAAAAATAGAGTGGACTTTTATTAACGAACATAAAGATCTAAGGAAATTGAGGTGAGTAATTTCATATTTTACACGTCTAATGTACACATAATAGTGTACATTAGACGTGTAAAATTATTTCTAATCAGAACATAAAATATATACTACAATTGTAACTAATAAAGAATTGTTATTGTTGAGAAAGAAGTAAGCGTAACAAAGCCGTTTGTTTCAAGACACTGTTGCCTCATATTGTACACGGAAATCGACTTGTCTACGTAGAGATGTGTGTTCAGAAGTGTCCTAAAGGCTGTAATGATAATGATACGTATTAAGCCTCAAATAATTAATATGCACGACTGTATAATATGGTATTAGTTTAAAAACAACAGAGGATCTATGAATTCCAAGACAAGCACGGTGGTTGCGCGGAAAACCATTCGCATTTTTTTTTTGTATGACGGTAGGACTTGCCGAATCGTTATTCCTTTCCAAAACGATATCATTCGTACCCTCCTATCGACACATCGGGGTGGTGGGGTGGGAGGGGAAAGAAGATGATTCTAGAACATCGCGTAATCATCGGAGCCGAGGATATATAAGGCACGCGCGACCGATGCGCGGCCTCTTTCTTCCCGCCGCAGCCGTCGTTGAACTACAACGCTTCTCTCCCGACGCACCCCTGGGGCCCCAGAGTGTCTGTCCAGAAGAAGTTCCGGAAGTCGCCGCTATAGTGCTCTAAAGGATAGAAGAACCCCGGTGAGTCAATATCCATTATTATACCTGCTTGATAATAGTTTTAACCCGCTCCAACTTTGTGTTTTCCTAATCAAGCAGGATTCCTTTCATCGATTTGGCAAGTAATAGTTTTAGTTTAGGGAAGAGCGAGTGCATTGTACCGCATGCTATAGTAGTCGCTTTTACGTAAGCGTAGAAGCAATCGCATATACAGTCCACTTTAGTTAATATCTCGCGTAATAGGTTTAAGGTTCGACCGGGGAACTAGATTTTCGGCAGCCTTAAACACGTGGCTCCACCATTTTATGGTCACTTCGGGCAGGATCTGGATTGGTGTTTAGTGGTTATCCAACCATTTTCTGGTCGAATAATTAGTCTTCGTAAATAGTGTAAATAGTGTTCGTTTAAATTTAAATTTGATCAGGCACTCGCAAACAGAATTGTTTATTTCATAGCGCTCGTATTTGGTTAAATTTAAAGCTTTAAAATTGAAACAGTGTGATAGCAACCGTTGATACGCTTACCCCACAATTCTGATAAAATTATTGAGTGTAGCAAACGACGCATCGCCTCGACTGTAACAGGTGTTCGATTTAATTACGTAATACGACATACCCAGTGTCCATCGTCCATCGTTTATGCGTGTGAGATTAATTGTGATTAATATAACTTCACTATAATAATTTAAAATGGCAGTTAGTGGAAGTGAAATCAAAATTAAAACGCTTTATGCCAAGAGGAACATACTCTTTTCGCGTATGCAGAATATAAGTGATTATATAAAGAACATTAATATAGAAGCAGTGCGGGAAACCTTTTTGAATGAAATCGAAACGATAGATTCCTTGCGGATAGATTACGAAAGAATATTAGACCAAATTAATCATTTGGAATTACAAATCGACCCGAAATACATAGTGAACTACCAACCGCTGCTGGCATTCGAAGATATGTTGTGTCGCGTGAAAAGAGCCGCGAAACTCCTACAATCTCAAAGCGAAGCAAAGCCGGAAATACAGGTACGTCCTCGTGACTCAAATAGGTTGCCGCCAATAGATATTCCGGTATTCAATGGTGATATTAAGAAGTGGCCCTTCTTCTTCAGTAGTTTTCAAAACAATATACACAACAACCCATCGTTATCGGACGCTGAAAAATTATATTACTTAATTAGTAAACTTAGTGGCAGAGCACAGTCGATCTGCTCGGGTTTTACACCTACAGCAAACAATTACTTATTAATATTTGAAACGCTTAAAACTAAATATGAAGATAGGAGAATGTTAGCTTCCGAATATTTGAACCAGATATTCGATCTTAAACCTATATCATCCGCGAACATCAACAGCTTAGAGCAATTTCTAGATAAATTTGTGGCATCGGTGGCTGTACTTAAGAATTTGAAGTTTAATGACCTTATGGACGTGGTGTTTCTCCATATTGCATTAAAGAAATTAGACCCCGACACCGTGCGTGCGTTTGAAATGGAGCATCGTAGCTCGGAGATGCCTTCCTTTCATTCATTAGCATCGTTCGTGCGAGATCAAATAAAGGTGATGCAGCGCTCTCCGAACGTTAAACAAGAGATTAAAAGGTGCGTCGACCGTAGACAGACTCAACCATCTAAAATAGCAGGGTCGTTAACTTACGTAACCGCTACGTCAACATCACTTCAGCATACTTGTATCGTATGTAAAGATAAACACGGTAATTTATATAATTGTGCGACTTTTCGTAAATATTCACCAAGCGAACGTTATAAATTAGTAAAGACAAACAACCTATGTCTGAACTGCTTAAGTGATAAGCATTTAGTTGCAAAATGCAATCCGAGTTCCGTATGTAGCAAGTGCGCCAGGAAACATCACACGCTATTACATTTTGAAAATAGCAACATAGCGGCGTCAAGTAAAGCGGACAAGGAATTCACCCCTACTAAGGTCAACGATTCTAGCGGTCGACCTGGTGATGTCGCTCTGTGCTCATTGGCAAATATGGGAGCACAACCTCCTTCAACCGTGTTACTGGGTACGGCGCGTATTTTGGTTAGGGATTCGCGTGGAAACGAACAAAGCGTCCGTGCACTGCTGGACAGCGGAGCCCAAAATAGCTTTATAACGCGACAATGTTGTCAGCGCTTAGGCTTAGTAATAAATAGGTCACTTTCATGTCCTGTAGTTAAAGGCATCGGAGGTACTAGTAAAGCGACACAGGGATATATAAATTTAAAATTTTGTTCTCGGATAGATCGTAATGTTAACTTTGATATAAATGCACTAGTAGTAGATAGGGTCACTGAACGGTTGCCAACCGTTTCGGTTGACACCTCGGCAATGATTGAATTTAAAAATTTGACTCTGGCGGACGACACTTACGCCGTTCCTGGAAACATAGACATGCTCATTGGAGCATCGCTTTTCCCCTCATCTTTTGTTAAACAGTAAGGTCATGGGCAACTCCTCGCATACCGCGCCTTACGCACTGGAAACCGTATTGGGCTATGTGATCCTTGGCTCCGCCCCCATCCTAGATAGTATTTCGGCAACCTCTTATTGTGGTATGGCTGTCGAACCGCTCGAGTCGTTAGTCCGCAAATTTTGGGAGATGGAGGAGGTGAACGTCCCACCCATAGCTAGTTCAGATGACAGGTTATGCGAGGAAATTTACGTCCGCACGACCGTTCGTGATCGCGACGGTAGATATAGTGTAGCGCTACCCTTTAAAGGAGATGTTTTATCTCTCGGCGATTCGCGTCAAATGGCGGGAAAACGTTTCTACAGCTTGGAGCGTAGGATGCTCGCTTCACCCCAGTTAAAGGAAGCTTACGACGGCGTCATTAACGAATATATAAAAGAAGGTTACATATCACTCGTGGCTTCTAAATTAGATAACTACGAAGACACACCGTCGTATTTCATACCACACCACGGGGTCATTAGGGAGGACAAACTTACATCTAAGTTACGTGTAGTGCTCGACGCTAGCGCTAAAACTAGCACTCACCTGTCGCTTAACGATATCCTCTATAGTGGGCAAAATTTACAGGGCAGTTTATTTAATATAATAGCCAATTTTCGTTTGTTTAGTATAGCACTATCCGCCGATATTCGCCAAATGTTTCTTTGCATAGGGGTCCGTGAATGCGACCGTAGATTCCAACGCATTTTATATCGTTTCAACCCAAAGGAACCTCTAATGGTGTTTGAATTTAACCGCGTTTGTTTTGGTTTAAAGTCGAGCCCATTTCATGCGTTACGCACGGTGAAACAGCTCGCCCACGATGAAGGTCCCTCTTACCCTAAAGCTAAGAGGGCAATTGAGAGCGGATTATATATGGATGATTTTGTATACTCGGTCGATAGCGTGGAGGAGGCCACCCTAACCACCGCCGAGGTTATAAGGCTCATGAAATCGGGTCAATTCGATCTTGTGAAGTGGACTAGTAATTCGCGTCCGGTTTTAGATACAATCCCACTATCACACCGTCTTTCGGCGATAAAGGAATTCGACGATTCCGATACACACAAAGTGCTCGGTCTGTGTTGGTCACCAGAGTCCGACGTGTTTAGCCTTAAGGTAAATCCGCCCGTAGAGAAATGCACAAAGCGCACAATACTGTCATGCGTTGCTAGATTATGGGATGTCATGGGTTTCGTAGCTCCAGTGGTATTATACGCTAAGCTTTTGATTAAACAACTTTGGTTATTTGAATGCGATTGGGATGATTCGCCGCCTGACAGCATTGCTCGTTTGTGGCAGCGCTTTAGAGAGGAACTTCCTTTACTAAGAGAAATTAAAATACCGCGTCATATAAACGTCGATAGAAATAGTAGCATAACGGTCGTTGGGTTTGCAGACGCCAGCGAGAAGGCTTACGGGGGCGTTGTATATTTCCATGTCCAGAATAATGGTAGAAATTCGATTAGCCTCATTAGTTCTAAGTCGAGAGTCTCCCCCCGTAAGGTTGTCTCTCTGGCGCGCTTAGAGCTTTGCGCAATATTGGTACTCACCAAGCTTATTACCGCAGTTATCAGCGCATGTAGGGATAGAGTTCACATAGAAAGGATATTTGCCTTTTCCGACTCCACCGTCGCCTTATGTTGGGTTCATTCTTTACCCCACCGTTGGGATACGTTTGTCGCGAACCGAGTGGCCAAGATCCAAGACGAGTTAGAAACGCGGAACTTTTATCACGTATCCGGTACGGAAAACCCTGCCGATTGTCTATCCCGGGGACTCACCCCGATGCAAATAATGGACCACCCGCTTTGGTTCCACGGACCTTCTTGGGTTCACTTGGATCCCTCGCAATGGCCAATAACCGATTTCGAACCTTCGTCAGTGTCACAACCGCCGGAAGAGAAGAGACACGCTCTAGTGGCGAACGTTTCGAGCGAGGTTTCTCCAATCATTGCTCTGGCGAACCGCTTGTCCTCTTGGTCGAAATTATTGCGTAGCGTAATTTACGTTTGTCGATTCGCGAAGCTTTTACCGCGACGTTCGTATGTCTTAGCGTCCGATTACAACTATGCCGAGTCGCTAGTATTACGTGAACTTCAACGTGCGCATTTCTCTGAAGAAATTACAAGATTACAATCGAATAGAGCTTGTAGTCGCGCCTTTCAACGCCTTAAGCCATTTTTACAGGATGGGATTGTAAGGGTAGGTGGACGCTTGTCCAACTCGCGGTTGAGTTTCGACCAACGGCACCCTATAGTTTTACCGCGTAAAGACCATATCATGAACTTATTAGTCGATTACCATCATAAATTGAACTCACACGCTGGCCCCGATTTATTGATGTCGATCTTGCGTCAGAATTATTGGATTCTTTCTGCACGTAGTTTAATACGCAATCGGGTGCACAGATGTATAGCTTGCTTTCGGGCACGCCCCAAGCCGTCATTTCCGGAAATGGCGGAACTTAGATCTTGTAGAGTGATACAATCGGTAAAGCCCTTCACGCACACCGGGTCTGATTTCGCTGGTCCGTTTAAGGTCACGCTCACTCGCGGGCGTGGTATAAGATCCACAAAGGCTTACGTCTGCATTTTCGTATGTCTAACTACTCGAGCGGTGCATATAGAACTCGTTGGTGATCTAAGCACAGCAGGCTTTATGGGTGCATTTAAAAGATTTCTATCCCGTAGAGGCCCTGTAAGTAAATTATATTCGGATAACGGTACGAACTACGTCGGTGCAAAACGTATTCTATCGGAACTACATGAGCTCTTAGCTAGCAAGTATTATAATTCGGAGTTCGCTCACATTCTAGCCGAGAACCGCATTGAGTGGTCTCTGAACGTCCCAGCCGCGAGTCATTTTGGAGGCAATTGGGAGACCAATATCAAGAGTCTAAAGAGCCACTTACACCGAGTAATAGGAGATCAAATTCTGTCCTTCGAAGAGCTAAGTACGGTGCTCGCTCAAATTGAATGCGTAATGAATAGCCGCCCACTTTGTCGGACGTTATCTAGTGACCCCTCGGAACCGCTGGCTCTAACTCCAGCACATTTTTTGAATTTAACGCCTCTAAGGTATCTGCCCGCCGCGGATATGGATGAGAACAGACTTAGCATTTCCGCACGCCACAAATTATTAGATCGGTTAGTGCAATCGTTTTGGAAACGATGGAGGATGGAATACTTGCATACTTTGCAGTCTCGGCAAAAATGGAACACAGCGACAGAGCCTTTAGCTGTAGGAACGGTAGTTGTGCTCACTAAGGAGAATGCGCCGCCTCTCCACTGGCCGTTAGGAATTGTCGAAGAGGTCTTCCCCGGTTCCGAGGGAGTAATTAGGATAGCTCGCGTTAAGACCACGGTTGGGTCTTACCTACGTCCTGTTGTCCGTTTGTGCCCCTTGCCTCTTCCATAATTTAAATTAGCTTTCTAGATTAAAATTGTAGTTGAATTTAGGTAATCTTAGCGTTAGTTAGTTATTTGTTAGTTGATCTTAGCTCTAGTTGTTTTAGTTATTTTTTGAAGGAAATCCTTCAAGGGCGGGGGAGATGGTTGCGCGGAAAACCATTCGCATTTTTTTTTTGTATGACGGTAGGACTTGCCGAATCGTTATTCCTTTCCAAAACGATATCATTCGTACCCTCCTATCGACACATCGGGGTGGTGGGGTGGGAGGGGAAAGAAGATGATTCTAGCATCGCGTAATCATCGGAGCCGAGGATATATAAGGCACGCGCGACCGATGCGCGGCCTCTTTCTTCCCGCCGCACCCGTCGTTGAACTACAACGCTTCTCTCCCGACGCACCCCTGGGGCCCCAGAGTGTCTGTCCAGAAGAAGTTCCGGAAGTCGCCGCTATAGTGCTCTAAAGGATAGAAGAACCCCGGTGAGTCAATATCCATTATTATACCTGCTTGATAATAGTTTTAACCCGCTCCAACTTTGTGTTTTCCTAATCAAGCAGGATTCCTTTCATCGATTTGGCAAGTAATAGTTTAGTTTAGGGAAGAGCGAGTGCATTGTACCGCATGCTATAGTAGTCGCTTTTACGTAAGCGTAGAAGCAATCGCATATACAGTCCACTTTAGTTAATATCTCGCGTAATAGGTTTAAGGTTTGACCGGGGAACTAGATTTTCGGCAGCCTTAAACACGTGGCTCCACCACATGGGACAATATTTTAAATAGTTCTTTTTTTTTTACCATAACCATTATATCCCATTATATGTCCACAGTTAAGCATAGGCCTAACTCATAGAATGTCTCGTATTTATTATAGTTGTCACGCTCGGCAAGCGGGTTGGCAACTGGGTTGGCAATCCCAGTTTTTTTATTAATTTAGCTGTTATCAGGAAGATGCTTCTTTCCTTTGTCGTCCATTACGACATCCACTAGCTGATATGAGGTAGTGGATATTCTAATACCGTCGCAATACTGATATTTACGAACGATAGTATTGTTCTTAAAAATAAACAAGTTGTATATATAATCAAAATACATAGTAGGGACATAGTTTTTTTTTAAAGAATAAGGGTTACAAATGGGCACCCAATCTACCTGACGGTAAGTGGATGCTTTAGCCCACAGTAATCTTAATCTATCCTCATTGGGGAATTAAAAAGTTGCAGATACGTTGTCACTCCTGAGGACTAAGATGGAATGCCCCATTTTCGTTGAAAAGGATCACCGGTTCTGCACATTCACCAAACGATACACAGCAGCATATAGCCGTTATTTTACGCTGGCATTTTGTGAGAGCGTGGCCTTTTCCCCAGTCGAGCCGATCCATTCGTGTTACAATGTTTGCATAGCTGCAGCATGGCTCTACCACGTATATACTATTCTTGTCATTTCTTTGAGAGTCATGGATTCGTTTTACTATCCTGTGTCCTTGTTTTTCAACAATAATAATCTATTGCTGGATATACATAGGTTTTTACATAATACCCAATTGTTTTTCAAAATAATAATAGTAACTTGTAGGAGGTTCAATAATTTATAAACCTTTACTCGAATTTTAATAATTTATTTCATTTTAGCACAAGTGACGCATCTGGTGCACTTCATTTATCACGAGTACAAGTTGATCAAAGTGGCTTCTATTTTTGCTTTGCTCGTAATGCCGGAGGATCAGCTAATATTGCCTATGAAGTTCAAATTCTTGGTATTTTATGAATTTTTAATAACAATTATCTTATGAATATATACATTTTTGCCTTTTTTATTGTAGTTTAGGTAAAATCGAGCATAGTATAATGCAATATCTAATGGTTCAAGTTCATTTAAGGATTCTGATAGTTTCAAAAATTATAGCGTTATCCTCCTGTTTTGATTTCAATCACGTTGAGGACATCAAAATACTGTCAATTTTTTTTATGTTTGTGCTTACTCTGAGATATTGGCAGTGGCAATACCTATAACTTTAATGGCAAATTTTAAAAATCACAGAAACAGAAACAAGAAACTGATGGTTTTCAAACCAACGCTAGAAAACCTACTTTTTATAGGATAAGGGTGACGAACGAGCTGTATGCTCCACCTGATATTAAGTGGTTTCTGTGGCCCATAGACATCTACATCTATCTTCGATTACGAATCAAAATCCAGATGCGTTGTCACCCGTGAAGACTAAGATGGAATGCCTCGTTTCCAGTAAAATGGGTCTTCGGTTCTCTACACTCACCATACGAAACACAGGAGCGTCGAGCTGCTATTTTACGCTGGTATTCTGTGAGAGCGTGGTCCTTCCCCGGTCGAGCCGACCCATTCGTGCTATAACTATACTAATACTATTAATATAGCTCCAGCATGTCTTTACCGCGTCAAAAATAAATTTTTTCAAATAAAAAAACCCGCACTGACATCGGTTCACCCGATTAAGATCTACGGTGCTACAGACAGACACACAGATAGAAAGACAGACGCACATAGCGGTCAAACATATAACACCCCTCCTTTTCGTCGGGGGTTAATATAAGTCAACAAATGACATAATTTGTCCAAATAGTGTTGAGTAGGACTCGATTTCAAAATGAGTTTGTAGGAGTAACCATATTTTTGAAATGAGCCAGTACAATGTCCCACACAAATGAGGCGAGACATATTAAGCATAGAGTAATTATACTTAGGGTGATAGTGTCATCCAAAATTCCGTTCAAAGTTGAAGCAACAACGCAATGAATGTGTGCATAAGCGGTCTATAATTACGTTTGCCCACACGCACATAAGTAATTGAGTAATGTTTGCAAGTAAATGACATTCTCCCCAAAAATGGGGAAATTGTAATAGTAGACATAGTCATAGAATTAATATTTAGGTTGCGTTTACAATTATTACTTATTAATTATTTGCAAAGATAGAAATGTAAAATTACTTATAATTGTTAACTCACGTCTTGTATAAATTATTTATATACGTAATATAATGTGCTATAATATATATTCATAAATCTATTATGTTACTATATTATTTTGTTAGAAGTGAAATATATTTTATTGAATATCCCCTTTGTATAAAAAAATTAAATGTTAGAAGTGATATATTTATATACGTATATAGTATTATATATTTATCTAAATATATAATATATTTTATTGAATAGGCGTTTTGTATTAAAACGAAATAAGATTCGGAAAGAGAAAATCTTTTCAAATAAAACATGAACTTAAAAATATGTAATAAATAACTATATACCCAAGTACTTAAACAATAAATAAAAATAACTACTTATGCGTTAATATTGTAGGTATTTTTATTTGCCAAATAAAAATACAACAATAACAGTCCCATATTGGCAGCATGTATCTACAATAATAATAAAATATGGGGTAAAATATTTTACTATGCCTAGCAACATTTTCATTATATTGGCGTCTGTCAAATGTACTATTTATTATTTTGATTATTATGAGATTTTTAATTTCTTTTTCATGATATGTGATGAGTTGAGACACCCTTTCATAGCACAGTACGTCATTTTTTTGAAAAATAGCGCGAGCTCTTTACACGACTATGTGGACTCGAGTACTGACGCGCCTAAAGTTGTACGTAGCCTTAAAAGGCTAACTTGAAATGGCTTCACTTTGCGTGCGCCTACTGCGGTTCTAAGCCTATAGTCCGTTTGCGTTAAGAAAATAGTGAGCCATCGTTTTCCGCCGGCCTGGCCACGCCCCCCAGCCAATTAAAATACAAGAAATTAAAAAGTCGAGTTCACAGTAACCAGTTGAAATCAGGCCTTCGAACAAAACGGTTGTGTATTTCGCATGTTACTCGTTCAACATTAAATTTTGAAAATGAATACCTCACCTATTCGAAAGAATAAAAGTGGATCAATAATCCATAGCGAAGAGAGACGCGTAATTTACAATGTTTGTAAGTACTTTAAACTGTGTGATTTAAATTCGACTCTGGAGATCACAGTAATAAAATCAGCAAGTGCATGTGGTGTGTCCGAAAATACTGTTTATAAAATTATTAAAGAACAAAAGTATACTAACACATTAAAATCACCCGTGAAAATAAGAGCTCGACTATCGACGGTCGATAAATTAGATGAACTAGACAAATGTGCAATAAGGAGAAAAGTTCACTCAATATATTTAAATAACGTCTACCCGACATCGACAAAATTATGACACTTTGCGAAGCTGACGTAGATATTCCTGATTTCAAACATACCACACTTCATAAAATAATGCGAGCTTGGTTTCGATTTCAATAAACAGGATAGCAGAACATTGTTAGTCGAAAGAGAAGATATTGTTTTATGGAGGCGTAAATATCTGAGGCAAATAAATGAATACAGAGCCACTAATAAAATCATTTACTATCTTGACGAAACGTAGATGAACGCCGGACACGTAAAGACAAAAGCATGGTTGGATACAACGGTAAAAAATAAAAGACAAGGCTTTCTAGATTCAACAGTTCCGACAAGAAAAGGTAAAAAGTTAATTGTATTGCACATTGGCAGCGACAAAGGATTCGTGGAAGATGGTCTACTAATATTTGAATCTAAGTCTACAAATGACTATCATGAAGAGATGGATGGTGAAAGATTCCTTAATTGTTTTATTAATATAATGCCTAAGCTAGAACCAGAATGTGTGGTTGTCATGGATAACGCTCCCTATTATTCGGTAAGAGTCGAAAAAATACCAACAACGAGCTGGAACAAGCAGCAAATAATAGATTGGCTGCAAAGCAAAGGCAAATCCATGGACATGACTTATTTAAAAAAAGAATTATTAATGAAAGTTGCCGAAATCGCCCCACAATATAATAAATATTTAATAGATGAGACTGCCAAAAGTAATGGCATTACAATTCTTCGCCTACCGCCTTACCATTGCAAACTTAATCCAATTGAATTGGTTTGGGCCCAAATAAAAAATTATGTTGGTGCCAATAACTTCACGTTCAAAATGAGTGATAAAATTATTAGATGACGCAATAGCACTAATAGACGCTAATCGTTGGAAGAACAGCTGCGACCACGTGATACGCGAAGAAAATACCATGTGGAATTTGGATGACATCATGGAACTTGCAGAACAAAATTCTTTCATAATTAATGTAACTGGAGAATCTAGCGATACTGATTAGTGATTTAAGTAATTTTAAGAAAATTTGTTTCCATTAAACTTAATTAAATGTTTGAAAAAAAAAGAATTTGGAATTAGAGGCAAATAATTCTTTAGCTTTCCTAGATGTTTTAGTCATTCGAAATCCTGATAACACTATTGGTCATACTATGTATAGAAAAGAGAGACATACCAACCGATATTTAAATGGTGAATCTCACCATCATCCTTCACAGTTAGTTACCGTGGTAACTAACTGTGAAGGATGGTACCGTGGGTAAATCTTTGTTTCAGAGAGCACAAGGGATCTGTGAAAAAAACATCTGGCCGCCGAGCTTCAGCATGTCAAGCAAGTGTTGCAAGACAACAAGCTTCGGATCACGCGCCTACGTCACAGTGACCGAGTGAAGCCGGCCACAGTCGAGCGTGTGCCTTCTGTACTACCATATGTCAGAGGAGTCACAGACAAGGTTGGCTACATCTTGAAGCGAGCTTCCATTAAAACATACTACAAGCCGCCGAAGAAGATTAGTCAATTTTTACCATCCGTCAAGTGTAATATCCCTCTACAAGATGCAGGAGTGTACAAGTTAGATTGTGAATGTGGTCTCTCTTACATAGGTCAAACAAAAAGATCCATAAAAACCCGCGTGAAAGAACACATAGCTGACGTGAAGCACCGACGCTCCGGGAAGTCTGCAGTCTGTGATCATGTTCAAGATCGTCCCCACCATTACATTAGATTTGATAAACCACAAATCCTCGCAAAAGAACACCGATTCCTACCAAGGATGAGGCTATTGAAATTAAAACACATCCCAATTTCAATAGAGAAGATGGTTGGGTGCTTCCATCTGCTTGGAATCCTATAATCAACAAAATTAAACCCAAACCCAAGCATACCACTGCAAGAATTCAAGATGTAGCGGCGCTGCCGTCGCCGCCACAAGCGAAAACACACCGAAGCCTAAATCGCGCTATCAACATTCCGAATCATAAACAGTATATATAGAACATCTCCGAACTATCATCACACGGAGTGTCGGCCGCTCCCCAGGCAGAACACCTTGCCTGGCGGGAGATCTCCCTTTTCCTACCACGACCACAGTGGTGACTAACCGACGTGATCTGAACACGCAACCAACAACCTTCGGAAACTTCAAGCTTCATCAACGTCATAGAATACCCCACCCATTCGCTCCCGAGTAGATATCGTCTGCAGTCTTCATATCCTGCAAGCCATCTAGCTTCACAAGGTTCATCGCAGCACTGGAATAATAATGCTTCCTGTTCCTTCAAGCTACACTCTGCGCTACAGTGTTCAGCAAGGCTCTGAGCCGTACTGCTCGCCTCTGCTTTACGGCACTCTCGCAGATTACTTGCCTTCTTCTCGACTCACCGCAGACTACAAGGCAATCTCCTGGCACTTGCACATTCGTCGGTAACGAGGCTGCACTATCGACCTCCGGTCTGAGCAGGGGGTGATGTAGCGGCGCTGCCGTCGCCGCCACAAGCGAAAACACACCGAAGCCTAAATCGCGCTATCAACATTCCGAATCATAAACAGTATATATAGAACATCTCCGAATTATTACACGGAGTGTGAGCCGCTCCCCGGGCAGAACACCTTGCCCGGCGGGAGATCTCCCCTTTTCCTTCCACGGCCACAAAGATACTGTAAGTTCGCTTTGCGAAAATCGGACAAAAATTATTCAAAAACTGAAGGTAGCCGGGCTAACAATGACATTGGGACGTCAAACATCTCAGTCCCCCCGTGACCATGGGTGCTGTAAAGCACCCGAAACGTCGGGAATTAAAAATAAGTAAAATCAGTTAAATAAACGCGATAGAATCCGTAAATTTAGTTTTATTCAATTTAGGAAGCAGTTTTCGATGAACAAATAAAAATTTTATCGACGCTTTTATTTATTACCTATATTGTAATATTTTCATGAATACGAAATAAAACGTAGTAAATAAATTAGGAGGTAAGTGTATGTTTTTTTTATAAAAAATAAAATGGTCTCTCTCTCGGTCACGTAAATGTTTGGTGAATAAGAAGACGTGCTATTGAAAGACGAGCTTTATTACAAAGTAAAGAGTAACGCGGTATAAAATTTGAAGTAATACAAATCAAAATAATGAGCCGCCCTTACATTGTTTCGTCATGTATGTCTTTTGTAGTAAAATATAGGTAGGCCATTACTTATATTTCATATCTAAGCGACAATTCTATGTTTGACAATGGAAATATAAACTCTCATATCCTATTTTACTTTATTTAGCAGATGGGTCGATTTTTCAACTGCCAGTTAAAAGTTACCTTATTTTATTATTAAATGAATTATAATCCGATTGAATATAAAAGTCAAACAATTGAACTATTTTGCATACCTTAAGCGCATAGCGCGTAGGTATGTTCTACTAGCGCCTAAAAATCAAGAATCCAACGTTTTGTCGCACGAAATCGTATTTAACAATCACATTTAACATATAAATGATATAAAAAGCACTTTGTTAGAAAAATGAATGGTTGTTGAACTTATTAGGTTTTTTTAAATCGATTAATTGCTATTTTTACATTAAAAAGTGGTTTTAGTGGCTTATGGTGTCGATTTATCAAGTCCGCATGGCGGGGTAAACTTTTAAAAATATCAATTGTTCAACTCAATCTATTTTATATCTATTCATATAACATGTCGGAAGCCATGGAATATAAATGGCTGTTTACTTTTGTTTTGTTTAGTTAGAATAATTTTTTTCGGCTGATAAATTCAGAAATTTTCGGTGTCTTGAACAGCCTTGTTATAATTTTTTTTACTAAATACAGATACATTTCGACCCACTCCGGGTTTGGCCGCCGTCATGAGTGGATTGCTGTAATGTTTGTTTACAGCGGCTCGTGACGAAAATTATCGCTGTAGAAATATAAAATATTCCAAAAAACAAATTTGATACATACTTCACCAAGGTAAGATATTATTATTATTTGTATAATCACAGATTTTCATTACAATATATTGTTTCGCTAAAAGTACGTAAGATTTATATATAAATATAATACGTCTTGGATTTTATGGAGTGACCTGAGTGAATGCTAAATTTAAGTACTGGTTGGATATGACTAGATGAAAAACTTTTTGAAAACGTAAAAAGTTGATGAGAAAAAGAAACTATTCATGAGTCAGGTGGAAAAGACTAGTTTTTACGCTAATGCCTTCTTATTTTTAAAAAACGTTATCGTGTGGATAGAAAGGACAGGAATAGGATTTTCTCCTGTATCTTGAAGGCAGTTTACATACATGAATTGCACAAGGACAAACATCCAGATCCGAAACAATTACCTGTAAGCCATACAAATACTTAGTATTCGAACCCGCGGCCCTCACCGCTATAACTCAGCAATGAGTCTTCGTGACGGAGCCATTAATGCCGTCATGCCTGAGTACAAATACCTAAAAATTTAAGTAGTAATAAAGATAGAGTCTCGTCCGGACCGCGCTAGCAAGCGGTCACGTCCACCGGTCGTCGACTCCCGCCCGGGTGGGAGAAGTACAGCGCGTCGCTTCGCAGTAGGTGCACGTGCTGTGGGGCCAACTCGGCTTGCGTACGCCCCCGACCCCACCCGGGATGTTGAGTACCTAACGCTGCGCTTAATCTACATACTTGGAAGCGAACTCCGAAAGCCCGGCGCGCTCCTGGGAGCGCGCGCCTGTTGGTGACTTCGGCTCCGCGTCGAGGTGCATCTCCGCGGGACCTGGAGGTTGCTGACCCTACGGCAGATCCCTTCCCAGAGGCGCGAGATACGCCAACTTCTGCCTAGGGATACCAGGCCATCACCTAGAGCCAGGAAGGAGCACTGGAGGCCCGGAGTGCTGCTTTCCGGAGCGCACTCCTGTCGGCAAGATTGGCCCTGCGTCGACTCCTTACCTGGGGACTCCGCGGGGCTTTGAGACGGCTGTCCCTCCGGTAGCACCTACCTGGTGGCGCGCAATACGCCAAGAAGATTACCGACAATGCCGTACATGTACGGCTCCCAAGACCGGCCCATAGATATGGGTTGTGAGGATTACCCGGGTAATGGGGAACTCCCCGAGGCCCGAACCTGCAAGGGATAAAGAATAGTAGTCCCCTGTAGATGATTTCTGATTGTTTTAAAATAATTCTGTTGAAAGTTTTTTCACTAAAATATTTAAAAAAAATGTATATCAATAATAATGACATAGTAAAATAAAAAATATTATTTTTTTATATTTTTCACAATAATTTGAGTCGTGCACTTCTGGATTTTCCAAACTTTTTCTTGTTGACGTTTGACATAAAAGTATCCGAAAATTAGAAGTACTTAATAATAACAAGGTTATTTGTGAAAACTTGTGTATAATTAAAATACTTAAGGCATGCACATTTAGATTTACCAAAAGTTTCTTTTTTAAATTAATGCAACAGTCATTTTTATTTTTATGTTGTACTTTATTCTATAAAGAACTTTTATCTGACGATTGAAAAATAGGCATTTAATGCTTTCTTTTTAGCTTTCTGCACTCCTTCCCATATAAACTTTAATTGTGCCGAAATTTCACGCTTAATGAATGGTACAAAGCTTTCTATTCACGTATAAATATAGAGACTTATTATATTGAATTGAACTTTGGACTGAAATCGGACCACTGCCGTAGAAAGTAGTTTTTTTAATAGTAAAAATATTAGTAATCTTATTAATTAACATTACTAATATTCCTTTTAACCACTCCTGGTAAGCTTGAAAATGCTTGTGTTAGGAGTGGTTCACGACAGTAGTCAAATGGCGGATTCGAAGACACGACCTTTTGAGTTCGCGATCCGCGCCCTGCTATTAGGCTACTGTCGCTTCAAGTTTTCTAGATAGTAATATTATTTATTATTACTTCTATATTTCTGCAACCAATCACTCCTTAGTATATTTTTTACCAAAGAAGTATTTAATGAATTTCTAAAATTTCAGCTCCACCCTCCATTACATGTTCGTTTTCTGCGAAAACGTTTGCGGTTGTAGTCAACGATTTAGTGTTGAGAATTCCATGTAATGCAACAGGAAATCCTAAACCGACGATAACCTGGGTGAAAAATGGATTAAATATAGCAGCAGGTAATCAATTTTTCAAAATTTATTTACAATATAATATGTGTATTTATATGTTTTATTTACATAAAATTAACTTAAAAATTATCATACATTTTTAATTTGTTTCATAATTTGTTTCATGATTACAATATTTATATTTATATTTATTACCCACATCCCATATACATTATTTTGTCAGCCTTATTGACGATAAAGCGTCCAAGGAAGTAAAAGAATCTATGCTTAGACATGACTTGAAAATTTTACCCAGTGGAAGCTCATATCAACGTGTAGTCTAATTCCAAGAAGATAAAGAATGATTAATATTTCTGGATAAGGTTAAATGATATCGTAAAATAGTATGGATTGGTTGTTGCACAGTTTAGAATTTGCAGTACTTATAAAGATCTTTTGTAGGCTACTGAAAAGCCGTAGAAGTACAAACTTTTAAGACAACCCTCTGTGTTTGTTCAAGGCCAATTAGATTAGATTTACAGGTGCTACCCTAACTTGAATTACACTAAATTAACGCTAACCATACTGTTTTCAGTACTATTGGCACCTCTTTAACATTTAAAAGCATAGATAAGTTTACGAATTATCCCGGTCAATAATTTTATACTCAATATAAACTTCGAAGTTGTAGGAAATATAATTATAGAAGAGGGGACAAACGAGGTGGTATGGCTCACCTGATGGTAAGTGATCACTGTCGCTAATGAGATAAAAATAAAAGATGATATTTGCTTCTACAATAACAATGTAGTAGGCAATATAATTTTTTCATGCCATTTCTTAACAGGTTAAGGACATTAAAGTACAACTTTGGGTCTCCAAACGTAATGCATGATTAAAAAATTTGAGTGATTTAATTTTATTAGATCATTAAAGTTGTGCCTTATCATTCTGCTTGTCCTAACGCACACCTTTGCATTTTTGTATTTGTTGATGTATTTTGTTAGGTGAGTTGGCCAGCATAACCTCCCCTCGCTTCCCTTCCTTCCCCGCACGGGCCGGTCTTCATTGAGAAGCGCGCTCCGCTAAAGTGAAAGGGGGACGGTTGAAGCTATAGAAAGGCACGTGCCACTACCGGAGACCCCAGTGAGACTGTTTTGGTCGTGTTCGCAAGCCGACAACGTTCGCAGTTATAATCGTGCCTGCATGATTGTAGAAAGAGGCCACTCGCTGCTTCCCCAAGTAAGTGTCCGTCCCTATTTATGAGCTGTTTTATTTGTTGTTCCTTTTCCGCAGCAGCTCACATCCCGTCGTGTCGGCCAATACATTAAATTAGTTTCATAGCAAGTATATATTGTCCAAAGCCATTTTTTTTGCTTCGACCTTCTGCTGACTACCAAACCAGACAGGTGTGAAGTAGAGGTTACCTCCCCTTTGGGTACATTTGACCACTGTCTGGTGAAATCTTTATCGCCATATTCTCCACCTGTTTACGAGTCCCAAGGTGTTGAACGAATATGGCGGTACAAGTCTGCTGATTGGGATGAGATGTGACACTTTTTTGCATCCTATACCTGGCGAGAGGCCTGTTTCTCTTCTGTGGATCCGTCGAGCTGCGCGGATTCGATAACCGATGTATTTATTGCGTCAAGCTATGGATTTTTTTATCTCCTTTTATGACGCTCCCACCGGTAGCAAAGCTCGCCCATGGTTAGACGCCGAATGCGCTCAATCTGAAAAACTCAAGCATTTAGCGTACCTGTCCTGGGTTGCCACTCAAAATCGCAAAGCTTCAGATATCAGCTTCAGGAAGAGAACTCTCAACCAGGCCGCCAATTCAAAAAAGCGTTACGGAAAGCCAGTCTCGATCGCATTAAACATATTGGTGCAAAACTCTGCCAGACCATCCGGCACTAAAGCTTTCGGATCTCTTCCCAAAGCGGTCAAGACAAACTTCTGTCGGCCCGAACTGCCTCCGCTGGTAAAATCGCGACACTAGCGCATACGGCTAAAGAGAAAGCGAACTTGTTCGCGTTTATATTTGACTATAATTCACGTCTGGACAGTGGCAACAACATTCCACCTAAATTACCTCACTGCGGCACCACTATGACAGAGGTTCGTATCACAAACAAGGAGGTTCTCAAAACCTTGCGGTGCCTAGACGTGAATAAAGTAAGTGGGTCAGATGGTATACCAGCTATAGTTCTAAAGGCTTATGTACCTGAGTTGTTTCCTGTGTTGGCACGCCTGTTCCGACTCTCATTTAGGACTGGAATAGTGCCAAAATCCTGGAAGGTGACCAACATGCAGCCTGTTCCAAAAAAAGGCGGCCGTGCCGACCCTGCCAATATCGGCCAATCTCAATTACCTCCATACTCTGCAAGATTATGGAGCGTATATTGAACGCCCGCTAAATGGCATACCTAAATCAGCATGGGTTTCACCGAAATCGGTCAGCTGGGGACCTTCTAGCGTATACCACACATGTACGGGGCAAGGCAGTCGAGAACAGTCGGGAAGCACTTGCTGTTTCCCTTGATGTCTCAAAGGATTTTGACGAAGTTTGGCACGCTAGCTTTCTGGCTAAGCTTCCAGTGTACGTCTTATCCCCTGATCTGATGGACTGGGTAAAAGACTTTCTGAGTGAATGGTCTGTACGTGTCGTCGTCGATGGCTGTTCTTTCGATCCAGTGACGACTAATGCCGGTGTTTCTCACGGGTCCGTTCTCTCCACAACTTTCTTCCTGAGGCATATTAATGATTTGGTTATGCCCGATAGCTATGGTAACGCAGATGACAGCACAGTGGTGGAGAAATAACAACCAAATCCGCGGGTCAGTCAGGATCAAATCCGGTCCGAAAGAGAAGCTATGGTAGAGCGTGTGAATTTCACACGACAGGCAGTCTTCGAATAGGGCGATGCTAATCTTGTGAAATTCAACGCCTCCAAAACACAAACGTGAGACACACTTCACTGCAAAAAGAAGCCAGCTCACCTTGGCTCCTTCTTTCCTAAATGTATAACTGGAATACACGGTTGCTGGAGGTTCAAATATCCTCAAATCTGAAATTCGGGCGGTTCATCGAGTCCAAGGCCAAAGCAGCTTCAAGGAAGCTAGGAGTCCTTGCAAAAGTGCGGCGCTACTTTACGCCGGGACAGATGCTTACTTCATACAGAGCGCAAATCTGGTCGTGCGTGGAGTATTGCTGCCATATATGGGCTGCTACCGCAAAATGCCACCTAGCAGCCTTGGGCTCAATGGAAAAGCGTACTAAGTGGCTTATTAGTAACCCAAATTTGGTTAAAACCAATCTTACCAGCCTCGAACACAGGTGCAAAGTAGCCAGCCTTTTTGCCGTCTACAAAATGGATTTTGGAGAATGAGGGAGCCCGAAGAATTGAATAATTGCATTATTTAATTTCTCCCTCTCCCTTCCATCATCAGACAACCAGACATTAGGGCAGTCTCCACCCTTTCGTTATTGACTTACCACGCATTCAAACCAAACGGTTTGCTACGTCGTTCGTCATGCGTACAGCAAAGGTGTGTTATAAGTTGCCAGCATCTGTCTTTCCATCCGATTACAATGTGAGTGTCTTCAAGGCAAGAGTGAATAGATTTTTGTTAATTCAGTGCGCCTTACCATCTTAAGCTTTATCACCACTTACCATCAGGTGGGATTGTAGCTAAGTGCTGGTTTAGAATAACTAAAAAAAACCACCACGTACCAGTACTGCCATTTTGTTTTGGTTCCTTTTGAACCACGCCAATACAGTCCACTTTATCGATCCTCCCGCAATACCTTTTAAACCTTTTAAATTAAAGATCCTATCCTGATACTGAGAATCTCCTATTGACAAAAACTGGCGATCTCACACAGGACGATGTGTTCAACATAAATTAGGGCTATTCTTTGTAGGTTTTCTTTGGAAGCCATGATTAGCAGTTAATTAAAATGGGTTGTGATCTGTGATGATGAAATTACGATGGATATTTAATTGAGTCGCAAATTTATTGCAATGCAAGAAGGCCCATCTTGAGGTTTGAATCTTATAAATAGAAACGTTAATTAACTGCATACTTGAGTTAATATTTTACTTTATCTAGGAACTGAATGGCATGATATTGAAGAAGATGGAACACTAGTTATAAAAAATATTGATGATTACAACGATGGCATGTATACATGTGTTGCACAGAATTCTGTAGGAACTGATTCAGAAGTTTTTAACATCAATGTTTTACGTAAGTGGCTTGCATTGCTTATTTTTTATTTCATTAATTTTTTTTGAGTCATTTAGTTCTTATTTGTTTTGATAATACCGTGTGGTGGCGGTGTAAGTATATCCATTACCCCACAACTTCCATTTGTTGTAAGAGGCGACAGGGGGAAACTTATAGTCAGCAGCGTCTTTTTTATAACATCGTAATAACAATAAAAAACTGCAGTTACCGCCCCACTCGCTGAGCGTGGCAACTATGGTAATATAATAATAATAATAATGTCCTCCAGACCGAATTCCGGCCACGGTGGCCTGCCTCAACGAAGGCTAGCCATCGGCGCAGGACAGGATTATAGTGCCCAAGTATATGCGCAAGCACATGTGCACTCTCTATTCCCTCACTCTCATAATCCGATGGGACGGTAAACCGACACGACTGGAGAGAGATCAGGTGCAGGACTAACGGCTTTACGTGCTTTCCGAGGTACGAGGGTGAGACACCGCCCGGAGCTCCGGGCGGTGTCTCACCCCCGTACTCACAGCACTCACTCCGGGCAGCTTCTGAGAACTTCTTGACAGAAAAACTCAATAATTGATTTTTGGCCCGACCCGGGATTCGAACCCAGGACTTCATGATCTGCAGTCATACTACTACAACCACTAGACCAACGAGGCAGTCATATGGTAATATAACAATATGGCGAGAGTAACAAAGAAACGATCCCCAGTCCCCAGCGGCCCCGCTATTCCAGGCTGCAATGGCAATCTTGGTAACGGCGGGACGGGGTTTTTAAGAATATCTGGTGAGGTTCGGTTGCCAGCTAAGACTACTTGACATGGCAACACTTAACGCACGTACCCCGAGGACTGACGAGAAAATCTTAGTGCTAGAAGAAAAGATAGACCAATTTGCGCTGAAGTATTATAGAATTATCTGAGAGAGAGAAGAGAGAGAGAGAGGATATGGTAATCCTCGAATCCGGCAACTTGTTCGTTCATAGAAAGGGCGATCGTCTGACCCAAGGAGGTGTCGGATTTATTGTTGAGAAGTTTCTCGGTAACAATGTTGTAAAGGTTGGAAGCGAGTCGACGAGGGTTGAGTAACTTATACTCCCAATCACCAAACGGTATTCGTTGAAGGTCATACAGCTTTATACACCATCCTCGGCAAATCCCGATGAGGAGATGAAGAAAATATATGAGGATATCTCTGGAGCCATGCACTCCTTCAGAAACCGCAATATGGTGTTAATGGGAGACTTCAACGCAAACTAGGAACAAGAGAGAACGGTATGCTGAAGGTAGGGAAATTTGGGAAAGAGCAACGGAACCCAAGTGGCCAGCAGTATCAAAGTTAAAGGGAATAATTTGTCTCTTAAGATAATATATCAGAAATGTAATAACGTTTTAATTAATGTTTTCAGCATATCCAAAATCTACTTTGGTTACTAACAGTGTGTATGTTGAAGTTGAAAAATCAGCAAGAATTGATTGTGATATTCCTCATAAACGAACCGATATTCTAAGGTGGTACAAGGTAAAATGCAAAAAATTCAAATTAATCTCAGAAACTAAAACATATGTTTTATTAACTCGTGTATACCCAAATCGCATAGTATTTCTCAAATCTTAGATTAGAAGATCTTCATCAGATAAGAGGCATTTCATAATATGTTATATACCATGAACACTGACTCTTTTATCGTATTTAAAAATATCTTGAATATGTCACATATTTTCAAAAGCACTGAAGGGTTTTTTCTGATATATTATGACTATTATGGATATAATCAACCCGTAAAAGTGCAATATTAGACATTCAAACACACAAAGTCCAATATTTCAGGCGTAGAAAAGATTTGTTTAATCTTGGCCCTTGACAAGTGTGATTGCTGTCTGTTGCTGATCTAGGTTTATTTTATTTTATAATATATATGACTGATGACAAGATGTTATCAAGCTTAGTTTGGAAGTATAATATATGTATCGTCCTGTATTCATACCAAAATTAGGTGATGGATTACCTCACACAAGTTTAACATATAAAAGTAAATAATTTACCTAATAAAATGACAATTACTGGCATCCCTAATACGGCTTAGTATACCAGTTGGTATGAAATTAGTACCTAGCTTATGAAATATGATGTCTAGGGATAAATATTATTTATATTTTTATTCTTGAGGTTATAACTGGATGATTTTTTTATCGTCTGGAAAAAAATGGACTGTAAAAGGTGAACGGATTAGAAGCCTATGACACTGATATTATACATTTTTTTTAATTCATTAACATAAATTGATCAATTATTAAATAATATTAATTTGAAGAAAATTTTCAATACTAAAAAGATAAAAACAAAATTTTTGAACTAAATAAATAAATCAATTAAAAGCTATCGAAACTCAAATCATACGGCATACTTTAATAGCGGCAATAAAACAATGAGTATGTAATACACTCGCCGTAGGCCTCTTTGTCCTTCTCCTTGTCCTTATCCTTTCGCAGGGTCGCAGGCGCAAGGTCAAGGCCGCCCTTCAGTCTTCAGTCAACTGTGAATAGCTACGGCGTGACTTCGTATAGTGTTTTCACGTGTGTATAGGCCCCTTGCTGATAGTTATCGTAAACATGTACCAATACTCTAATGTCAAATACCTGGCTACCTAACAATGATGAGATTTTATGTGTTGTCTAGTGAAAACTTAGAAGGTGCGACGAGTCGATATTTCCCCTGGTTGGATTTTACAACGTGCACAATGAGCACTGGTGGAGTTTTCGAAACCCACACAAAATTAAAGAACATTCTCATCAAGTTCGCTTTAGTGTCAACGTTTGGGCGGCAATCATTAACGACCAACGACCATATTAGACCACATGGACCAATGTTCAATATGGATTGAAGGTCGATTGATTGGAGTAGCGTGTCTGCTAATGAAATGCTCCGTCATCGACACTATGTTGGAAAACGTTCCTCTGAGCCATCTGCAAGGAATGTACTTCCAGCACGACGGATGTCTAGCACATTACGAATGATCTGTGCGCGCATATCTGGACAAGCAATTCGGTGATAGAAGGATAGGTCGCGGCTGATCTGTGAACAGGCCGGTGATATCACTAGACCTAAAACCTCTAGACTTTTATTTTATTGGTGGTACGAACTAAAATTATTAATATAAACAGAAGAAGCACAAAGTAGTAAAGCCACGCGGCAGCCTTTGCAGTTGCACGACTACTACAGGTTACAAGACTACTCCAGGAGAGTATCAGCCAGCACACCTGGAGAATCCCTCACTGAGCATCCACGACCAAGCTACTCCACTCCTGAGCGTGGGTGCTCAGGCTGCCTTGCGTAATCCGTGGAGGGGGAGGGCGAAATTCCCCTGGAGACTAAACCTGCTCGGGGCAAACGGAGCACTAAGTCAAAGGTACCCCCTGCCACGCTATTCGTGAATATCCGCAACATCAGGGGATTTAATTCAAACCACAACGCTGTCCACCACTATCTGGAAAAGGCAAAATTGGCCTTGCTCTTTCTAACCAAGACACAGGTGTCCTCTACGGCTGATACTTCGTATCTCTCCTATCCGGGGTACAAATTAGAACACTCCTTTGTGCGCCGGACTAGAGTTTGCGTGTACGTAAGAGAGGACATCTGTTTTCGACGCCTCGGCAGCCTTGAAGGTACGGACCTGTCCATCTTATAGCTGCGCGCAGACAGCGGCGACCATCCCCGCGTCTACGGGTGCCTATATAGGTCCCATAACGGCAATGCCGACACAGATCAATTCATGAAACACGTCTAGATAGCTGTAGACTCCGTACTACCACAGGTCCCACCCGCAGAAATCGTGATGCTTGGTGATTTTAACGCCCACCACGCTGAATGGCTTGGTTCTCGTTTAACCGATCATGAGAGTAGATCTGTTTATGACTTTACTTTGGTATATAGTCTGACACAACTGGTTACCTCGCCTATGAGGATCCCAGATGTGGAAGATCATGTACCTTCCCTGTTGGACCTTCTGCTGAACTCTCATCCGGATGGATATCAGGTCTCCTTCGATGCCCGTTTTTGCTCCTCGGACTAATGTCTGATCCGGATTACGGTGCCACTCACGCTCCATCACGGTTGCGTACTGCAGGTTGCCGCCATGTTTGGCATTATAGGTCAGCCGATTGGGACGGGATGCGATCTTTTTTTGCATCCTACCCTTGGAGTCGGGTTTGCTTCTCGCCAGATGATCCCAGCGTTGTTGCTGATTTTGTCGCTAATGTGTTGCTACTGGTAATGGAACTTTTTATTCCATCATCTGTGGTACCTATCGGAGGCAGAAACCAGCCATGGTTTGGTTGCTCCTGCAAAATTGTATTACATCATAAGCAAGAGTGCTAGCAGGCCTGGGCTCGCACATCGACGTCTTGGGATGCAAATACTAGCGCTCTTAAAAAGAAGTATAATTCTGGCTCCAGGTCCTTGAAATGCGTCATTTTCAAGGCCAACTCAGAGCACATCGGCAGAATTGGCGAGAAATTAGTTCGTCGTCCTTCGGGAACACGTGCATTCTGGTCTCTCGCCAAGGCTGTGCAAGGAAACTTTTGTCAGCCATCTCTCCCATCTCTCCACAGGGAAGACGACTCACTCACTCATGCGGCAAAGTAAAAAACCGATCTGATGGGCTGTCTCTTTGCGTCCAACTCGACTCTTGATGACGGGGGGAACACACCGCCGACCATCCCGCGGTGTAAGTGCTCCATGCAGGATGTGCTGTTTACCCGACAAGCAGTACGCAGAGCACTGCTCTCCCTGAACGTCAACAAGTCGATTGGGCCTGATAGCGTTGCTCCTATTGTACTGAAGACGTGTGCTCTGGAGTTGGCACCGGTCTTAACGCATCTTTTTCGGTACTCCTACTTCCTAGCCGTAGTCCCGAAATCATGAAACACAGCCTTCGTGCACCCAATTCCTAAAATAGGTAACTGCTCTGATCAGTCTAACTATAGGCCAATCGCCATCACCTCCTTGTTCTCTGAAATAATGGAATCCATTATTAACAGGTAGCTCATGCGGTACCTTGAGGATCGCCAGCTGATTAGTGACCGTCAGTACGGTTTCTGTCGCGGTCGCTCGGCTGGTGATCTTCTGGGTTACCTAACTCATAATTGTCGGAGGCAGTAGAGTTCAAGGGGGGGGAGCGTTTACCGGACCACCAGTTTTCTTGCTGATCGGAGCATCAAGGTCGTAGTAAACGCTGCATGCTTGGATTACAAGCCCATTAATGCTGGTGTTCTTCAAGGCTGCGTGCTATCACCACCGCTGTTTCTTCTACATATCAATGACACGTTGCAAACCGGTAACATTAATTGCTATGCGGACGACAGCACTGGTGATGCTTTATACACCGGTCGTGCCAATATTTTTCGGGAAAACGTCGTTGAGTACCGGGACAAACTTGTGTCTGAAGTCGAGACTTTGTTGAACAAAGTGTCGGACTGGGGGTGACTAAATATAGTCCAGTTTAATCCACAGAAGACACAAGCTTGCGCATTTTCCGCGAAAAAGAACTTCTTCGTCGTATCTCCTCAGTTTCAAGGGACTCTCCTTTATGCCTCAGCTAGTATCGGAATCCTCGGCGTCGACATATCGACGTGCAGTTTCGTGGTCACTTAGAAGAGAAGGCCGAATTGGCCTCTAAAAAGCTTGGCGTGCTCAGCAGAGCGGAACAGTATTTCATGGCGGCTCACTAGCTGCAACTTTACAAGGTATAGGTTCAGCCGCACATGGAGTACTGTGCCCATCTCTGGGCTAGGGCTCCCCAGTGCCAGCTCCTTCCATTTGATTGCATCCAGCGCAACTTGCCTCACTGGCCCTGCGAAGAGTTATTGCATCTCTTTGCGTATTTTATCGCATCTACCATATGGAGTGCTCTGAGGAATTATTTGGACTGATTCTAGCCGCACAATTTCACTCATACCGTCCGGGTGACGGGCGGTCCCCCACCGTGCGATTTAAAAGACTGATTGAGGAGTGATTTAAAAGTTGTTTTGTGTATTCCTAAACTTATTGAGTGTCCCACGTACATACATCCACACACCCACATACATACAAAGACCTACAGACACCAACGAAATATTGTCAGGGTGGCTTATTGTGGCCTTGTTCTTTAAGAAAGGTGACAACGCTCTCTTGAAGAACTACAGATCGATTTCCTTTCTGAGCGGCGTCTACGTGATGCTTTCGAGAATCATTACGAATCGTCTCGCACGCAGACTTGACGACTTTCCATCTCCCGAACAAGCCGGTTTCCAAAAAGGCTTTAGTACCATAGACCAGATACATACCCTGCGGCAGATTCTACAGAAAAATGAAGAGTACAATTTGCCACGTTGCCTGGCGTATGTGAAATATGAGAAAGCCTTTGATTCCATCGGAATATGGGCGGTGCTACACTCCTTTCAGTGGTGCCAACTTGACTGTCGGAATATCAAAGTGCTAAAGTGTTTGTTCAGTAGGGCTACGATGCTACGAGTACGAAACCTATCCAACTGCAGAGAGGTGTAAGACAGGGTGACGTTATATCCCCGAAGCTCTTCACCGCTGCATTGGAAGACGTTTACAAACTACTGGAGTGGAAAAGATTTGTATTAACATCAATGGCGAGTACATTACTAACCTTCAATTTGCCGACAATATTTGTCCTTATGGCAGAATCGCTGGAGGATCTAAGTACTATACTCAATGACCTCAATAGTGTCTCCCAACGAATAGGTCCTAAGATGAACATGGACAAAACAAAGATCATGTTTAATGTCCATGTCACACCTATGCCGGTAGATGTTGGAAGCACTGCCTAAGACAAATAGTCTGATTAGGTAAGTCCAACTTCGACCGTGAGGTCGATCGATGGATTCAACTTGGCTGGGCAGCGTACGGGAAATTACGCCACATCTTCTCGTCAAGTATACCTCAAAACCTGAAAACTAGATTGTACAACCAGTTCGTGTTGCCAGTAATGATTTATGGATCTTAGACGAGGTCCTTCACTGCTGGCCATATGAAGAAGCTCAGGGTTGCTCAGAAAGCTATGAATAGGGTTATGCTCGGGGTTTCTATGCGTGATGAACTTAAAAATGAGGATATCCGCAGTAGAACCAGAGTGACCGACATAACCACCAACGGATTGCTAAGCTGAAGTGGCAATGGGCCGGCCATATAGCTCTAAGAACTGATAACCGATGGGAAAAATGGTCGTCGAGTGGCAGCCTCGTACCGGTGGGCGTAGTGTTGGGCGACACCCGATTAGATGGAGTGACGGCCTGGTAAGACGTGCAAAAGTTCGATGTATGCATGTGGCTCAGGACCGTGCTTTGTGGCGTTCCTTAGAGGAGGGCTATGTTCAGCAGTGAACTTGTGAAGGGCTGTAATGATGATTATGATGATGATCGTAATGTCTTTCCGACTGAACTTTGAAAAACTTTATCTGCATTCTTAAATTGCGCTGTATCCAAAAACACTTACAAATGTTACGAAAGCAAGTATTGTAACTAGGTCTTTTTGAATACGCCTGATACTGATACTACTCAAACTCAGCCGCCTGGTGCCTACGTCATGACGACATTCATCGGAAGCATCGGTAGTCATTCGGCTAACAAAAAAATATGCATAGTCTCACTCGCACTTTCAACTTTCATTCACTAGCCTACGCCGCACCGTTTCAAATAATATCACCTATTTTTAGTTTTACGCAAGTGCTGAAGGCTTAATTGTTTTTAAGATTTTTTTGGATGTTCGGAAATTTTGCTTATCTAGTTATAGTTTGTTATATTTTACAAGTACCTTCGAAGATAGCATTTATCTCACTTACGCAATACACCATTTTATTTTCCAGACAGTAAAAAGAATCATGCAGTATATAAGCTTCCTCACAATATCATTGTTTTTCTCCGAACACATGGTAAATAATTACTTATTTGGGCAAGTGACTATTAAAAAAGACGCCGTGACATCTCTGTTGTATTCCGGTAAAGGATAATAAAATCCAATATACTAAGTCGTGAGACATCTCATCATAATCCTCAGAAATAACAATGCAGCTGCAGTGTTCTCTATTAAAATTGGTTAAAGGTGTCCATACAGCCTTAACATCAGAAGAATATCATTTTACCCTAATAAAAATGAGGCCAGTAACACAAATACAAATCTACGTTATCTACGTAGATTTGTAACTGGTACGTACGCAATCAAAGTAGTAGTAAGTGATCACTGCAACTTGCTGCTCAATCACTCCGGAGAACTAAAATAGACTAATATGGTATTTTATAATTTTACGATCAATCTGATATAATAAAATGTGTTTAATAGGGTTCAAAGATCGTTGCTTCTGGTGAACTGGTTCTTACTAACATCAAAATATCCGATGATGGATTATACACCTGTCGCGTTAGTACTTTTTCTGGTTCAACTAGCGCAACAAAGCGAGTTATAGTCGGATATAAGCCAAGCTTCATAACAGAAGAAGATGAATATGTGGAATTTTTTGATGGAAGGGAAGCCTATCTGTCGTGTGCGGCCGATGGAGACCCAATGCCAAAGGTTTTTTTTTAATAGTTTATATCAAATAACAAAACTTCTTATAAGAACATACTAAGCAAAAGATTTTGCCATGGATTTTATACTCGTCCTACAGGAGCTAGCTTGTTTATTCGTGTGAGGAGGGTTAGAAAACCGGAGATCCTTTTTACTGGTGACAAAATCCTCAGGAGTGACAATGCATCTATATTTTGACTTTTAATCGTAGGTGGATGTAGATGTCTAATGTCCACAGTATCCACTTACCATCGAATAGATTTTTCGTACACCTTTATTCTATAACTTTACCTCTCAACCCCCTAGCGGTCTCATGAGACCGTGGCCATATTCCGTCAAATCCCTAGCGGTCTCATGAGGTCGCACCCACCCACAGCACTTTAACTAATAAAAACTTATATATAGAGACTACTTTTTTATAAAGAAGTTTGGCATTATATAATCAATATGAAATAATCTATCCTCTAGTGCAATAAAAAATTGTTATGCTATGAATATATATTTATAATCTACGTTAATTTCGTACGCCATTTTCGCGTGAATGTTATTGTATTGATTTTTGTATTTTATAGTGTTTTATTAGTGTTTTAGTTTAGTGTTTTATTATACTCGTACAATTGTAATGAAAGTTTTTGTGTGAATATAAGTTATATTTTTACGTAAATAATTTCGAGTAATATATAGAATTAATTGTGATTTTCACGCTGCCGACATCAGCTTGGTATATATACATATATATATTGTAATCAAAATACAATAAAATCTTTTTGTAATGAAGTAAAACCTGACTTTTGTTTACACCACAGGATAGAAAATTTTGTATAGATTTTATAATGCTAAACTTCCTTATAGAAAAGTAGTCTCTAAATATAATTTGTAATGGTTTTAAGTGCTGTGGGTGATTCCAGCACCTATGATCCCCGTGACTATAGGTGCTGAAAAGCACCTGAAAAGTCGGGTATTAAAAATAAAATAAACAAAACGCGATAAAATACGTAAAAGTAGTTTTCATCAATGTGTAGTGTTCGCGTAAATATAAGAAATGATTTACGTTTAAGTTAAAAAATCAAGGAAGTATCATCAGCAAATAACACCTTATTATGATTATCCCCTACATGGGAAGGTGAGTCATTAATATACACTAAAAATAGGAATGGGCCAAGAATTGAGCCCTGAGAGACACCCAACTGTACGAGCTATCCGGAATAACTTTTACCATTGATAATAACTTTCTGCACTCTATTACTTTAATATTAAATAATTAGTTTAAGCGTTGTGTTCTTGACACCATAGTACTTTAGCTTCCTGATTAATGTCTGTTGGTAAACACAGTCGAAGGCCTTGTAAAGGTCATAAGATATATTCAAAGCATCCTCTAAATTATCTCATGCATAAAAAAAGTTTTATTAGCTCAACTCCAGCTTCGGTTGTCGAGCGACCCCTTGTAAAACCAAAATGACTTGTATGATTGATGTATTTATATTAAAATAACTTAACATCTGATGTAAAATATTTTTTTTAAATTTTTACTTAAACGTGGTAGTACAGGAATTGGTCTAAAATTTTCCGAATCTGATGTACTACCAGATTTGAATAAAGGTATAACTTTACTATGTTTAATTAAATCAGAAAACACACCAGATACGACGCTTGTATTAACTAGTAGCTAGATAAGGTGCTATTTTATCTATTACAGATGCAATAACTTTAATGGAAACGATGGATTTGCTTGTTATTTGTTAATCTAAAAGTAATAATAATAAATAAATAATGTGGGGGGGGGCATTTATATAGTTTTCTCATCTAGTTGGGTTCTATAAATATATAATTATAAATGAAAATGAAAAGATAAATATACATAAATATCAATAAGATAAAATAAATACAAAAATACATAAATAAATAAAATCCCAACCAGATGGAAGCCCTTGGCAGGGCAGACCAAACGGCCGAGGGTTAGAGGAAAAGCGAAAGAAACCGGCCGACAATGCGGACAGTATAGAGGAGCACCGCCTTCTGAATTTGAGCCCGGAGCGTTCCGTCACAGAGTCCCAGTCACGTCAGATGACCCGAGAGGCTGACTGGGATTAGCCCGTTTGCAGAAACGACAACAGGTATAATTTCGGTCGACAGCCCACCCCACATGTCGGTCACCTCGTGAGCCAGGTCCAAATATTTTGTTCGCTTATCTGTTTCGGCTTTCACGAGGTTCTCGTCATACGGAATGGTAATGGCGACCAAAAATATCCTTGACTGTGCCCGGTCCATCAGCACAATATCAGGCTTATTCGCAAGAATAGTACTGTCTGTGATGATGGCCCGGTCCCAGTAGAGGTCCCAGGCTTCCGGCAAGTACTTATAATACGGCAGTTTCCGGTCCACGAAACCGTATTTCAGAGCGAGCTCCTGGTGTAGAATTCTGGGTACTAGGTTGTGCCTGTGCAAGTACTCAGAGTTAGAAAGCCCCGAACAACTGGAGATGACATGCCTAAGTGACTCACCGGGATGCCATCCTTTAGGATTTATCTCCGATAGTTGTTGGTCTTTATAACCTGATCCTGTATCGCACAGACAAAACCCTCGGTTTCCCCGAAGAGGTCACCGAAACGTAGCCAGTTGAAGGAGGCGACTGTGTCTACGAAAGGTTCATGTAGAGCCTTGTAGAACCTCCCGTGGAGCTCCTTCTCCTTCCATACAGTGTCCCAGTCGGAAATGCTCTGTACTACCGGTTCTTGCCATTGCTCTTTGGCCAAGGATAGAGGGGTAAGCCCTTTATCACAATAAATGACGTCCCTATAGAATGAATCATCAGATCTCGTCAGAAAGTAATTACGGAGGCTGCACACTTTGCGATTATGCATGGTAAGCGAGCTTAATAAGCCACGCCCACCATATTTCCGCGGCAAGTACAGCCTCATAATCGAAGATCTCGGGTGATGCATCCTATGGGACGTCATAGTAGTGCGGACTTTTCTATCCAGGGCGTTAAGTTCCGTCTGAGTCCACCTAAGTATGCCAAAGGTATACATGAGTACAGGCATGACCCAACCGTTATATGCTTGTGTCTTATTTACACCGGACAAAAGGCTGTTTAGCACTTTGGTCAAGCGTGCATAAAACACGTCGCAAACAGACTGTTTCATACTAACCTCATCGATACCGATGTTCTGTGACAAACCCAGGTATCGGTATGTTTCAGCCTCTGAAAGGGTTCTCAAGTTGACGGGCATAGATAAGTCTATGCCCTCAGAGTTAGCAACCTTACCCCTTTCACCAAGGAGGACCGCACACTTATCCGTTCCCAGCTCCATTCCAATAGAACTGCTAAATTCACAAGTGATATTTAGCAATTCCACAAGATGGGAGCGACTGGAGGCGAATAACTTGAGGTCATCCATATAGATAAGGTGGATCACTTTTGTACCTCCTTTCGGAAGCTGAAATCCCTTCCCGGAGCCCTCCAGTAACGTTCTGAGAGGGTTCAAAGAGAGGCAGAACCAGATTGGACTCAGACAATCGCCCTGGAAGTTACCCCTTCTTATCCTTATGCGGCTTTCCGCAACCGTCATCCGCTCACCCAGATGACAAAGGATCGTACTCCACTGCCCCATACATTGCTCGAGGAAGTCTCTAACTGTACAGTCAATCTTGTACAGCTCGAGGACCCTCTTTAGCCATGTATGGGGAACTGAGTCGAATGCCTTTCTGTAGTCTATCCAGGCGGCGGAGAAGTCCCGACGGTTGCGTTTCACCACTTTGCCAATGACTGCGTCAATGAGAAGTGGTTTCTTGGTTCCACGACTACTGTCTCAACATCCATTTTGAGCACGCGACATCACCTGATTTGAGTCCAGGTGACGAGTAATTCTCGCGCTCAAAATGGATGTTAGTGTCTTTTATATGGTCGGTAGACACGTGATGGGGCGGTATTTGCTCGGGTCTGTGGTAACCTGGTCTTTAGGAACCAAATGAGTGATCCCAGTAGTGAAGAGGATAGGAAGCGACTTCGGGTTGAGAGCCTCTTGAAACTGACGGGCGAGCACAGCGTGACACACCATGAACCCCTTCAGCCAGTAGTGATGCAGCCCGTCGAGTCCCGGACTTTTCCAGTTCGGGGCTCTACGGACCACCTCAGCTACGTCACCGGCGTTATGATGACGGGGTCCATGGGCGTAATACTCGCACACTGACTCGCCACAACTTCCGACCAAGGGCCCTTGCTGTGGTTTACGGGCTTTGACCACAGGCCGCGCCAGAATGCGACAGTGTCGGCCTGATTCGGTGCTGGGCCCGTTCCACTTACCATTGGTCGCTCCAATGATTTATAGAGCCACTTCTGATCACTCTGTAAGAGACGATTCTGGTTGAACCATGTTGACCTGTCGATATATCGCCGAATCCGCTTTCCCCAAGCAGCGATTCTCTGCTTCAGGTCGTCTATGCGCTCCGTCAGTTTTTGCATTATATCCGGCTGGGACAAACTAACACTTGTCCCAGCAAATGCCATCCTGACGGTGCGCACAATCCTTGGCCTGTTATTGCCTGACCTGAAGCATATCAGTCTGCCGATGAGGGCCCAAGCCTTTGCGACACGTTCCTCAATTCTTATTCTCCAGGCTGGGATAGCGCTACTTTGTCCAGTAGCGCGTCCAGCCGTGGAAAGTTTGGCGCCTATAATACAGCATACTGCCAGTGCGGCGCCAAAAAGAATTGAGTTCGTCTCGCAAAGGTTATTATTATTATTTATATTTTTATTTGTTTTTTTTCTTCCACTGTATTGAGGGCTAGAAAACGGACACACGGGCCTTGACCAAATGTGCACGCGGGAAGAAGACTTACAATGATGACGATAGTTAAGAAATTTACGTGTGAGACGACAGGTGTTAAGTAGGACTGCTTTTTGTATAAGTGTAAGAGTGGATTTAGGCATTTGAAGCATGTTGAGGCTGGTTTGAAGGGTCTTTGGAACTACACCAGTTGTAGATATGATAATAGGAATGATTTTT